AAAAAAAAAAAAACGGATATTGTTGCCAACTTGCCATATATGTATTATCATGCATTGCAGTCTGGCATCCGAAGTTCCCGTACGGCAAAGTTCATCCGCTTCCACTTCCGATTCCGCTACGGCTGGGGGGGGCTGCCCAACCTTGGTGCTAGTTACTTTCTGTCTGGTCCCAAGTTGCCCTCGATATTGGTGGCGTGATGGTCCTCAGTGCTGGTCACACTGAGGTAAGATATTAGGGGTAGGGGGTGCGCTGGGAGAATTTAAGTCGAGAAGGGTAGAGAAGGTGGTCTATACTGTCAGGACGACCATTGGCTGCCGCTACCAGCAATCACCGTGGGTCTGGTCCTTGGCCTCTACACCACCCTGGGCTTTCCAAAAAAAAAAAAAATCATGCCTTGGAAAAGTGGTGTCTCTTCGTATCATGTCTATTACTATGTTTACGCGGGTGTAGTGCTTTTTTTTTGCTTTTTTTTTTTTTGATTACATCCAAGAGAGGCCTACGTGTGGAGATGGTTCCAATCTTTTGGTGGGGACCTGCACCAGCTGGAACCGGGTCCACCGTCCCAATTTGCAAAACAGGACCACAAGATGAGCCGTAATTGTGGATGATGAGCAACATTGATTGCCCTCGTGCGAGGGGATCGACTGCCCATGCCCTTGTGGACCCAAGGACGGGCGCACCATCCAAGCAGTGGCCCTAACCCGCTGAGCGCGAAGCTCCTCCCCACCCCTGCCACGTGGCAGAACCCCATGGTAACCGTTGTAAATGGGAACGTCAATGCGCAGCCAAAAGCGCCTCCCCCAACTCAGACGCCGGATCAAATCAGACTACATCAAATCCGATCAAGTCAAAATCAAATCAATTATATCCAATGAAATCCAATCAATCGATTGAAGTGAAATGCAAATCAAATCCAATCAAGTCAAAATCAAATCAGTTATATCCAATGAAACCCAATCCAATCGAATCCAATCAATCGATTGAAGTGAAATGTAGAGGGGAGAAACTCGGCCTGCTGCCACCTCTCCCCGCATTGAAAGTTCTGCAGACAAAGGGTAGATATCCTGGGAAAGGGAACCAAAAATAAACAGGATCTTCCCTCCTTCTCCTTGAAGTTCCAGTTTGATAGTATGAATATTGTACAAACCAATGAGAAACAACCTCCAACCCCACCAGTGCTTGGCCCATACATCGGCCGCGGCCCCCTCACTGCGACTTTCAGAGGCCCGAAATGCGTCAAGGGTCACCAATAAAATTTATCAACGGCGGCCCGGCCCGGAAAGTTGCGGCCATTAATGAGCTGCCACTCTGTTTTTCAAGTGCGGAAACGTACTGGTGGTTTAAGCGGGTGTCTGCCCCGAGAAGTGATGTCGAGCGGGAAGAGCTGAAGATCAATAGGAACTGTCCTCAGAGCCTTATATTGCAAACGCCAGGAAAGGGTGTGAAAAGCTTACAGGGGTCTATTTATTATTAACCTTATGGCCCTTATAGGTTTATTTCCTTGTTTACAGGGGTTCATTACTCAATTTATGGGGATCTATTCCCGTGGTCACGGCAGCGCTCATAGCAGGTCTGCACAGCTTGGTGCTTGCACGTTCACTATTACTCAGGTGGACCTCCCGCAGGGTTTTGCCTCTCCTCGTGGAGCCCTGGCACGTTATTAGCGTGCGGAGGCACGTCGTGGTTGTATTCACTGCCGTCAGGACGGACACACCTCCTCATTGTGCCCACACCATGCCGCCCTCAATCGATACTATGCTGAAATTTCTCGTCAGCGTCGATCGCAGTCCCCCCCCGACACCTCCTAGCCCGCCCCATCCACCTAACCACAATGCAGTGTACAATTGAGGCCTCGTCTGTAGCCGGCTTCCCTACCACTGAGTCGTGGTTTGCCCTTTTGGCTACCACATGAAAAGGTCCTCAGGACACGACATCGTCTGCCCCACAGCAGACTGCCACATCTAGTCCTTCCCCTCCGGACACATACACGTCTTGCGTCGTTCTCACTTTGCTCTCTGACCCTAATCGCACCCTCCCTATCATTTTATTCACCTTGGGACATCTACGAGGGTGTACCCAACATTATAGGACTCCGGATCGCAGGGCGATTTCGATCACCTGCGCGTGGTTGAGGACGTTCGCTTAGCTACCTCCGGGTCCCGCTCTCCTATCTCTGTTACCCTCGGAGATAACAAGACGAAGCGCTTGTTCAATGAGACGGTCCCTGACCTCCACTTTTCTCTTACCCTCCAGCTGTCGAATAGTACCCAGGTGTCTCGCTGCTACCATTCCTCCACATACTTGGATGCGTTGGAGACTAGGTACTACTTTATCCTTGGCACACACTTGCTTTGCAAGTTCTCTGGCACAGAGGCCGAATGGACGACCGAGACACTCGTTCTCATAACGAAGTGTGGTCTGACTCGTCATGTCCTCTTCATTGGAACCACGGGCGACACCCCTCTTGACTTACCTCCCCATAACTCTCGTCCCTCCGGGTCCCACCTAGACATTGTCTTCACTTCCCCTCGCCAATTCGCTCACTTCTTGCGTCAAGAGGACGTCACAACCTCCTGACTTCGGGTCGCGTATCCACGACATATCAGGCCAGTAATGTTTACTTATTGAGCTACGTCTATATGAGGAGTTTTGCCCCTGTCGCCCCATTTGCTTGTGGCTTAGTAGGGCTTGCCTACTCGAGCCATAGGTTCTCTCCCATAACATAAAGTTTGTAGGGCCGCTCATCTTACCTAGGGTGCCAACCTCTACCAGCCTGCAGCTGGCTTGGTTCCCTTTCGTTATATAAAGAAGGTTTTTTCTTGTAAAAAAAAAAAGCTCAATAATCGATAATCATATAGGCTATCAGCCAGACTGCCTGGATCACCTTGTTTGCCCGGGTGACCCTCCCACGCAATGACTATAAAAAGTCCCAAAAAAAAAATCCAAAAATTATGAAAAAAAAAATGTTATGCTGAACTTATGCGGAAAAATAAATTGAACAACGTTCGTTTTAGGGTGACATCAAAATTCTTTACCAGATCTAAAATAAAAAAATAATAAAATATTTTTATTATTATTATTATTTTGTTTTTGCCCAACTGAGCAAGTGGTCTTGGGTCGCTCTAGTAACCTTTTTTTTTTTTTTTTTTTTTTTTAACCCACTCCATATATTGGCGGGGAACTTCATCTGCCGGAAAACGGGCCCAGCGTCCCTCATTTGACAGTAAAAACATAAGAACATGAAAAATTGGAAGAAGTGACTTGTGAATCAGCACCTCCTCACCCCTTATCGGTCATCAGATCTTGCAGTATTATCTAGTCATGGTTCACTCAATGAAACATGAAACTCCAGTTTTTTTTTTTTTTTAAACATATGAACTCGTCACTCGTAAATCATACCCAAACCAAAATCTCGAAACCGTAGTTGATGGGGGTGGGGGGAAGGGGTCGGCCTTCAAGAAAATCTACTATTGGACGTAGGGGTATGGATGGGTATACCCATGTCCAGTCTTCCAAGTCGAATACTTGCTTATAATCACTCATTATATTTTCATTGTCCCCTCTTATAGCCCCTTCTCATTCCCCCCCTGGTTTTCTTAAAGCCAACACGTTCAGAATTTTTGAATGTGTTTCTGGATTTCATTTTGAAAAGACAGGTGAAGTTTTTTTTTTTCTTCATTTTTTCTCATTTGGTTGTAATGCCTGTTTGAACCTGTAGCTTAATAATTTTAGTGAATTCAAACCCATCTAATCGAACTCCCTCCATTTCATAGGTGCATTTCCTCAACCAAATTACCTACATGACCGTTCTTCTTCCTATGGTAAAAAGGTTTTGTGTTAAGTCATCATGTGGTTCGACAACCCATGACTCCAATATAATTGTTTTTTAGCCTCATGGGCATAGAATTTGTGAGCCTAGTTGATTTTGAACTCTATCTCACCATCTCCATAACCATACAGGCCCAGGGCATTACAGGAATATATGCTCGATAGTTTCAAAGATCAGCCTACTAGGGAAGGAGGATTTACAAAATTCACACCATATAGAGGTAATTCCTTTATGTTCCAGGGAAGATCTATCTATCAATCAATCATTAGTAAAAATATATTTATGCTTAACCGGCCATTGGA